CATCGTATGTAGTGTCTTCTATTTTGCATTCAGAATGTGCTGAAGCCTGCAAGACTGGGATTCCAGGCCAAGATCATGGCCAAAAGGGCACTGTCTTTGGAAGGGAGGGAAATCTGATACTCCCAGTCTGGGGATGCTGAAGTCAGGGGATGGATAGTCAGTCCTGTCATGTTTAACTTCTAAAATGAGTGATGGAAAACTTAGCACTGTTAATGGCAGAGTAATTCGGCTGCAGCAGCTGATAAACTTTAGGATCCTGCAAAAACTATAGTCAGAGGAATGGTTTCAGAAACACATTTCAGTACTAAAAACACCTTAAGAACAAGCACAGCTCTAATTCCTTTCCTCCTCCCTTTTCTAGCTCCTTTCCTCCCTTCCAGAATTCCAATACCCTTCACCTACAGGTGCTGAACTGCTAGAGTTTATTATGACCTGGTACTCAAACAGGGCAGTTCTATTCTGGGGTAGCTCTAGAGAGGCATCAAGTTCCCTCATTCCAGGACAGGCCAGGGAGGGAGGGAAAAAGGGACAGGGCTTGGGGGCCCCCGGAGAATATGCTTAGTGCCAGTCCTGCTGTCTTTGCCCTCCCCTGAGAGCCCAGCTCGCTCACCCATCTAAGGCAGTCTCTTTAGGACAGATTAGAAAAGCAACCAGCAAGCTGGATTGAATTATATACCTGGAGCAGGTAGAAGGAACAGGACACCGCCCAGAAGCTTTCAGAGGGAACCTGTTTGGGCCAAGCAGGATGTGCTGCAGAATCTCAGTCCCACAATCTTGGAACTAGAAGGGACCTCAAAGATCATCAAGTCTAGCCTAGTTGGAAAAAAAAATTTCTTATCTTGACCTCCGGTTGTTTCAGTTCAGTTCAGTTTCAGAGTCCTCCTGACTCCATTTGGAATTTTCTTGGCACAGATACTGTAATGGTTTGCCATTTCCTTCTCCAGCTCATTTTATATATGAGGAAACTGAGGCAAAGAGGGTTAAGTGATTTGGCCAGAGTCACACAGCTAGAAAGTATCTGAGGCCAGATTTGTGAACTCCTGTCTTCTGGACTCCAGCTCTATCTACTCTATCTACTGACCTATCTGTAGGGCTCTATCTACTGACCTAGATCTCCAACAAGCTTTAATTATTAGGAAGTATTTCCTTACATTGAGCCTCAAGGCTTTCTATGCCTTCCAGCCATTGTTATTCCAGGTGCCAAGCAGAGTGAATCTAATCCCTTTTTTCACGTGATTCCCTGCCCTTTAAGCTACTCTAAGACTGTGATATCTCCCTACTAAGTGTCCATACTAAGTACACCCCCAATATAAGTATAGATCAGCACCTGTCAGTTTCACAGGCTTAAAGGGTTGTCTGACTGAGTGTGGTGGTTCTTGGCCCCTTATCCTAGCTGAGGCTGTCAGAGCTCAGAATTCTGAGCATTAGTGATCTATCTATCCCCTTTCAAGCCTTCTTATACTTTACATCCCTCTACCCACTCTACAATCCAGTTAAATGGGTCTGCTATTCTTTATACTTGACAATTGATGTCTTGACTGTGGGCCTTTGCACAGGCTGTCCTCTCATGCCTGGAATGCTCTCCCTCCTCACTTTAAACTCTTGTATGAGGTCTCCCACCCCTTTTCCTCTGAGATTACTTTCCATTTACACTGTATCTATCTATAACAACCTAGACATTTGCAGGTTGGTTCCCCCATTAGAAAATGAGGTCCTGGAAGGGGGGTCCAAGTCCTCAGGCACAGTGCCTGGCACATAATAAGTGCTTAATAAATGTTAATTGACTGACTGACCATAAAGCTTCAAGGAGTAAATAGGTGGTATCTATGTTGGGCTTTCAAGGAAGGGAGGTATTTCAATAGGCAAGTAAGTCTCTGTGTGTATATGAGACAGTGCACTCTGGGTATTGGGAATCTCTTCAAGAGATTTTCTAAGAAAATGTTTCATTGCTAGCATTCCTCTTGAATCACAGAAGCCTAATACATTTCTCTTAGTTTGCTAAAATAAATGTTTCCGTTCCAACAAATGTTTTGGATATTTGGATGGAACAAAAGAAGTGGACATTTCCTGGAGCTTATTTTATTGGATGATTGCAAAGTAGGGTGGGGATCTTCCCAGATCACTTCAATGTCTCTTATGTACAAAGAAATACTCTGAGGAGATTAAAAAATTTACAAAAGGCGAGGAGGGTTCTGCCCCTCTTTTTTTTTTCCTACATTTTTCCTCTCTGTGATCTCATGAGCTCCTATTAATTCAACCCTCAGCTAGACGCAGCTGACTCCCAGATCTACATATTCAACCCTAATCTCTCTTCTGAGCTCCATTTGGCTATCTCCAACTGCTTGCTGAAGATTCTTTACCTAGATGTCCCATAGGCCTGCCAAACTAAACATCTGTCTTCCTAAACTCACCCTTTCCCCTAAGATCCCTAGTTCTGCCAAGGATACTACTATTCTTCCAGTTGTTGGACATCTTTGACTCTTCCCTCTCACTCACATCCCTCCAACTCCAACCCTCATCTCCAATTAGTTGCCATCTGGTTGATCCTCTCTCTGCACCATCCACACCATCCATCCTCTTCTCTCCACTCATGTACCACCGTCACCTCGTTTCAGTCCTCATCACCCGTAACCTAGACAACTGTAACAGCCTCTGAAGTGATTTCCTTGAATCTAGCCTCTTGACTTCCCAATTCCCCTTCTTCACAGCTGCCAAACTGAAATCTTGAAAGCACCAGTCTGACCCTGTTACTCCCCTGATTAAGAAGTTTTAATGGCTCCCTATTGCCCCAAGGATAAAATACACATTCCTCTGTTTGGCATTTAAAGCCCTTTACAATCTGGCTCCAGCCAATCTTTCCAGGCTGGTTACACATTACTCCCCCTCAAATTCTCTATGTTCCAGCTCAACTGCTCTGCTTGTTGTTCTACATAAACTGCATTCCATTTCCTGTGTTGCTGGAATATCCTCCCATACCTGGAATGTTCCTTCTCTTTACCTCCACCTCTTAGAATCCTTAGGTGCTTGAAAGATTCAGTTCAAGGACTACCTTCTATAAGGAAGGGGCCTTTCCTGATTCCTCAAGTTAACAACCCATTAGTTGGTATTTATTTTATAAAAATTATTTTATATAAATCTTGTAATTATTTATCAACATACATATTGTACTGCCCCTCTTCCACCACCAGTAGAGTGCAATCTCCTTGAGGACAGGAACTGCTTTTTTGTTGTATTCCCAGTAATTAGCAAAGTGCTAGAGGAATAGCTGGCACTTAATGCTTTTTTAGTTGAATTGAGTGTACCTGGGCAGCTAGGTGGTGAAATGGATGGACTTCCAGGACTGAAGTCAGAAAGACCTGAGTTCAAATATGACTCAAATACTGATTAGTTGTGTGACCCTGGGAAAGTCACTTAACCCTGTTTCCCTCAGTTCCTCGTCTGTGAAACAAGCTGGAGAAGGAAATGGCAACCCACTCTAGTATGTTTGCCAAGAAAACCCCAAATGGGATTATGAAGAGTTATGCACACTGAACAAGTGTCCAGTTTCAAATCCCACCAGTCAGCGAGTCCCTATGTATTCTATCTCCGCAACATCTTTCACAGTCTTCCTCTTTACTTCCATTATTACTGTGCTGGTCCAAGGCCTCATTGCCATCCACCGGGACTACTGTTAATAACTTTTTTTACAGGTTTTCCCTCACCTACTCTCTCTCCTCTCCAATCTCCCAGCACACAGATCTATATCTTAGCCACAGATCTATATCACTGCCCTGCTCAAATATCTCCAGGGTTTCCCTATTGCCTAGAGTAAAGTTTAAATTCTTGAATGTTCAGTATTCTGGTTCATCTATAATCTGGCACTACCCAACTTTTCTAGCTTTATTCCTATGTACTCTATGCACCAGCCAAACTGGCTGATTCTTTGTCTTCCTGAACATATCCATCTTCTTTTTCTCTTCCTTTGCTGACACTGTTCCTTCTGCCTGAAATGTCCCTTTATCTGCTGAATTCTTACCTATCCCTTTATAGAGCAAGTCAAGTGCCAACTTTTCCAGGAAGCTTTTTCCTATCTTCTTTCTCCCTATGGCTATCCTACCCTATCCTACCTTTCCAGACTTATTATATATCACATCCTCCCTCCCAAGCCCCCGTGCACTCTGATCCAAACTGGCTTGTTGCTGCTCCACAGGACATTCCATCTCCTGGCACTGGGTGTTCCTCTTGCTCTGGTTCTCTTTATCCTCAGAATTTCAAGCCTCGGTTCCAGCTCAGTTCAAGACTGACCTCCTGCTTGCAAGCCTGAAGCTTTCCTGATTCTCCCAGCTGCCAGTGCTTCCCCGCCCCCCATTTCCTTGTATTTTATGTTTTGTATCTATTTATATGGGTAAATATTGACTCCTCCGATTTGTTTCTTCCCCATCTCCTAGCACAGTAATACCTTGATGCTTAGTAGGTGTTTATAGATACTTGTCGATTGATTTTCTATTGTTAGGCTCTGGGGGAGATTCACAGTATAATATGGGATATGACAAATAGATCACATAACTATATTAGGGATGTGCACGACTATGCTATGTGATATTGGAGGTTAAGGTCATTGCTGACAGATTTCAGGGGAGACTTCCTGGAGGAGGTGGCATTTGATTTGGCAGTTTTCACAGTCAGGAACATAAACTAAGATTCAGGTTGACCTGTCTGGGGTTTGAAGCAGGCTGGGTGGGTGGGGGGTATGGTGAGCACGTGCCCAGGCCAACGTCTCGGTGTACCCAGGGGTCCCAGAGGGCACGTGCAGAGCGGGGCGTGTCGGAGGTGTAGCCAAATCAGAGACAGGGCGTGTCCTCGATCCATGTGCAGAAAGGGGCGTGCCTCGGGCGGGTAGGGCTTTGGAGGGAGGGAGGAGCTCAGATTGACTGGGCGGGACCGCCCAGGGACAGAGTGGGCGTGCCGGGCCAATGAACGCGGCGACGCGGGGCGGTGGGCGGGGCTTGCAGGGAGGGTTCGGGCCGGCTGCGGGCTGAGAAATGCAGGCAGAAGCGTCGGGGATCCGCGGAGGGATCGTGCGGGCGCCGCCGCGGGTACCGCTCGGCCGCGGGGATTGGCTGTGGTGCTCGCGTGTCACCCGGGGTTGCTAGGCTCCGGGCCGCCCCGCCTCCGCCTTTCCCCGGTACGTGCTCGCGCGGAGGCTGCGGCGCGGCTCTCGCGCTTCTCGGGCTTCGGGCTGCGCGCGCGGCGGCGGCATAGCGCCGGGGCCCCGGGGAGCGGCGGCGTCCTGCGGCCCGGCGTCCTGGCGGAGCGGGGAGTGTCGGCACCTGCCGCTGCCCGGCGGCGCTCGGGGGTGAGTCACGCCCTCCCCCTACGGCCGCCTAGCGGCTCCCGGGCCCTGGGCCCGCCCGGCCCGCGCCCCTCCCCCTCTCCCAGCGGCCCCGGCCCCTCTTCTCTCCTCCCCGCCTAACACCTGCTGCTGCGCCCGCTCGGGGCCCTGGGTCCGGGGTGCGAGCGAGGCCTGCGCCCGCCGGCCCGGGCCCGCTCGTGTCCTTGCTCTTCGCTGGCAGCGGGCGGGCCCGGGCCGGCGGCTGCGGGAGGAGGTGGTTCTCTGGCGGCGCTGCCTTTACCTCACGCCGCCTGCATCCCCTCCCGGCCCCGGGGGTCAAGGCCTGGGGGGGTGGCGGCGGCGGCAGTGGGTGTGGGCGTGCAGGGCAGAGGGGGCTGCCGAGGGGGGCTCGGGCCCGGCGGCTGCTGAGAGCGCCTTTTGTTGCCGGGCCCGGGGCTGGCACGGAGGCGGCGGCGGAGCAGGCCGCGGGGCCGAGGTCGGCCCGGGTGCGGGGCCGGGGCCTTCCCCGCCCGGGAGCCGCCGGGGCCTCTGGGCGGGCTGGACGCCGCCGGTCGGCCCCAGAGGGAGGGGGAGCGCCGGGCCTGCCTGGGTGGCCCCCAGCCCTATTCGGGGGTCGAGTTTGCTGCTGGGTGAGGGAAGGGGAAGCGGGGAAAAACCTGCGTGTGGTTTTTGTGAATGCACAGCTGTCTGAGAGAAGCTGCTACAGCGGCAGGCAGGTTGAGTCGCTCTTTAAGCCCTTCCCTTGGGGAGGAGGTAGGGCCCCCCCAGTCCCCCACCCATGTTCGAGGTTCCTTTTGGAGCTCCAGTACCTGGTCGTCTTTTCACAGGAGTTTGAGAGAGCAGCTCCAAAGTTGGGTGTATCTGGGAGGCTTCCCCAGAGGACAGGCTGGTTTGCTTGTCCGGGAAACCTCCATTAAGACATAAGGACTCAGCTTCATAATAATGTCAAAGCTGGTGATTTAAAAAGAATGAGTCTAATATGTACATTTTGACAGGTAGGTAACCTCTAGATCATTAAAGGTTTAGTGTTGATTTTAAGGCTGAAGAGAAGTTCCTTGCCTTTTGTCAGTTTCAGAATTTAGCAGACTTTTTATTACTGCCATTTTATTTTCTGAAAGTCTCCCAATATGGAGAAGTTTTGGATGTTTGTGATCACTTAATAGTGTACATAGTTTTAAAACTTGAAGCTTTTTTTGAAAGGAACTGATTTAGTAATGTATTAGGAATTCTGTCTTAGAAGCACAGCATGCTCTTGCACTTTCTCTGAACAAGTGAGAAGAAGTGATTACTGGCAAAGGTCCTAGTCTGTTTGCCTGCCTGCCCCCCCTCTCCCTCTCCCTCTCTCTCTCTCTCTCCTCTCTCTCTCTCTCCTCTCTCTCTCTCTCTCTCCTCTCTCCCCCCTCCCCCTCTCTCCCCCCCTCCCCCCCTTTTCACTCTCTCCCTTCTCTCTTTCTCATTCTCCCCTTTCTCTCATTCTCTCTCTCCCTTCTTTCTGTTGATGAGACAAAATGGTGCATATAGCCAATTAACTATTTTTCCAGGTGTGTTTTGGGTGTCTGGGATAGGTATACTCTTTCAGAGTAGTATTGTTTTTAAAAGGACAGATATTTTGACCTGTTAAAAGTGTATTATTAGATGTTTGGAGAACTTGAATGGGATCAAGTTAATTTGGTTTAGCAGTGAGAAAGTGGACTTACAATGCAGAATACTCATGACTTGGGGCCAAAGCAAACAAGGTACAGATTTCTGCTAGGAAATCAAAAGAGGGAGGTGTTTTCTTAAGTGAAAGTTGGGGAATATTGCAGGCATGCAGATGAATATAGGTAAGAGGAGAAAACAATATTTACACAATAAACATTTAATGGGAATTGTGAAACACTTGTGTTGGTAGTCTTTCAGTCAAGAAACTTGCAGGTCTACACTATTCTGAAAAAATCGGCAGCTTGCTAACAGTGGAGTTGAAACTTGGCAAAGTGTCTACCATCTCTGCTGACTTCAAAGATAGAAGCTAATGTCGACTGAGGTCAGTGGCAACATTTAGAATTATTGAGGGGAATGGGGGTGGGAGAAGGGCACTTTGCCAGATCATCTAAAGTAGTTTCATCCTAGCTGGGATTATTTCTAAATTACTCCAGATAGTGTAGAATACATTCCCAAGAAAAAGAGATTCCATAGTCTCCCTCGGCAACTGCTCAGTTGTACTGATAGTGAAGAATCTTGCTTATCTAACCTAAAATCCATAGCCCATTGGATTCTATCCTTCAGGCTTGGACAATTGTGGACAATCTTGGACAGTTTTCTTGGGTGTGGTTTTCAAGTAGTTTGATGATTCTTAAATTATCTCTTCAATCTTTTTTTCCAGGTGACTTATTTCTGCTTTGAAGTACCTCACTTTTTTTTTCTATTTTTCTCACTCGGACATTTTTCTTAATCTCAGGGTAAATTGCTATTTTTATCCCTGTTAAGGCAAAATTAAATACAATGCCTCTGTTATTTTCCTGTTTGATGCTTGTTCACTGAAATTTGGGTTCCAACTTTTGCCCTTAATTTCAACCAGTGATATGGTTGAATTTTCTGAAGGTAGTACTAGGGAGACTTTTCTAATGGTGGAAAGGGAGTGTAGAGAAGAAAGTAGGGAGATGTCAAGACATCCTACCCATCTCTCCAAGCTCATATTACCCACTAGTAGTAGAATTCCTTAAGGCCTAGCACTGTTTTTGCATTTACAATGCTTTGTAGTAGTGATTAATTCCCTAGGAGCCAGATAAGTTGTGGGTGGTTGGAAGGTGGGAGGGAGAGGTAGAATTTGGGATCATTTTAAGTTTATAGGTCCCCTACCAGTAATAGGGCAGGATTTTACTCATAGATTTTAAAGCTTAATTTTCCCCTTCTCTTCTCAGTAACAACCCCACCCCTTCTGTGATATCCATGTTTTGGGGAAATATAATGTGGTTTTTCATCCCTTAAAGGTAGGGGACACTTCCTTGAACGAACTTCTGTCATGAACCTTCATATTTCCACTAGAATCAATCTATAGGTAAAATTTGGGTGCCAGCCATGTACTAGGTGCTGTAGGATACAAAGTATTACATGACATTGCTCCTTCCCTCAAATAGTTTGTTTTCTAGTTGGAGAGAGAGAATGATAACATAAAGTGCATAAATTGTTTAGAATGATCTCCTTTGGCTCCTATGACCAGGAAAGAGCCTGAACTGGATTTTCATTGGGTGAAATTTAGAAAACTGAAAGGGAGGGAGGATGGCATTCCAGGAGAACTTGAACAAAGGTGAAGAGGTGGGATATGCATGGTATGTCTAGGGAACCAGTTTGACTGGAGTGGTGGAGAGTTTCTGTAGGGAAGTAGTAGCAGATGAGTTTGGAGATGCAGCTTGGAGTTTTGGAGACAACTTTTAGACCCATGTTATGTTTTTTTTTTCTTCAGCTTCCCTTATTTTGTTTAATTTCTAAACTCAATACTGTTCAGGTAACAACACTTTCACAATACAATATTTTTAATTGTTCATTCTATAATGCCTGAAGCTAGCCTTAATAGCTAGGATTCAATATGTGGTTTTCAGTTTTAGATACTCTTGGGGTCATATTGGCAGCTTCAGCCTTTATAATAAGATACATAAAGTCAATCAAACTTTTTAAGCTTCTGGGAGATTATAATTGAATGAAGTATGGAAACAAGCTCACAAACTGTTGAATTTGTGAAGCTAGATTTCTTTCCCCAGTTACTTATTGAGTGAAATTTATGTGACTTAATTCCTACTAGATGCCTGAATGTTAGATACAAATTAATTTTCAAGATTATAATTTTGCCTGAGTATGTTAGTCCTGCCTGGGAAGAAGTTAAGTTGATAAGAGTGTATGACTGCCTTTCTGAGGGAGTGGCAACAAAGACAGGTGTTCAGGTTTCGTTTTGAAGTTGTGCCATTCTGAACTAGTAATTAAAAAAAATTCTAGTATGTTGAATGTTTACACTTTGAATTACTTTAGTATCTTTGAAGTTTTTCACCCTGATTTTTGGTCTTGGTTTATCTGTCAAGTCTTCAGTATAAAACATATCTTCTTTCTCAATAGTGACCTTTGATAAAATTTGGTGGAATAGTTTGACTCACTTGTGTGGGCAGGGGATTAAGTGGCATTCTTTATGTCTTTCTGGAAGGAGCATAGAAGAGTTCCAGCCTTGCAATAGGCATTCACCACTATCATTCTTTACTCTTCCCAATGGGTTTTAGTTCCCATTTTAGTTAAGTGTTTTTGAAATAGGATTGTATTGGAAAATGCAAGGAGTACCTCCCAGTATACTTTTTTAAAAATTTCTCTGCTTTGTGTAGAGTACAAGTATACTCTGATTTAAGGAGTTTGGAATTATGAAAATTGATTTACACAAAATAAAATTGGGGCATATATGTTTATTCACTTCATAAAAACATTTATGAGATTTCTTTAAATGTCAAACTTTCTCCAGTGTATCTACAATTTCAGATGTGATTTGTATTACACAGTTTTTCAAGGAAAAGTGACATCTTTTAACAAGCTGACATCTATTATAAAATGAGGCATATCTCTGTCATTTTTTAAACAAGATTCCTTCCATAGGCATCCCGATTTTTCCCTCTTTTAGGGGTGCTTAGATTCTTACTTTACGTTTAAGTACAATTCGGTGTCCCCTGCTGTTCTGCGCATATGAAACCACTGATTCATTTTTGTTGCTGCTACTCATTGCACTATTGCATCCTAAATATAGGGTAGTGTGCCAGTTGGGAAACAGCCCAGTAGTAAGTGGAAGCATTTGGAATGCTGCATATTATTCAGAGAAATAA